ATATATATATATATATGTGTGTGTGTGTTATGTATATTGGATGTTTATAAACGTTAAGAATGAATAGGAATGAGATTGTGTGCGCGCATTCAAAAAGAATTGCTTTTGCTCACATCAGATCAATAAGAGTAAGGTCCGTTAAGAAAAAGAGCTGAACACACGCGATTGTTCCAAGATTATTATCGTTCGTTCGCGAATATTGATTATTTTTTTTTCTTCTTCTTATTCTTCTTCTTTTATCATTCCTCACACACATCATCCATTTTTTTTTTTTTGATTTCTACTTTTTAATTTTTTCCTCTTCTTTTTCTTTTTATTTTTGCAAAGCAATAATAAACGAGTATGTATAACGATTTGATTTAATTTATTATCACATAGGATAGATTTTTGAAATTGAATATTTTGAATAGAGATTGAAAAGCCTTAGATAGTTACGTTATTATTTATTTTATAATATTACATTCTTCGTGGTCAGATATTTCATTGGTTAAATTTGTTTTATTGCATGAAAAATTAGGATACGATCTTCAACGTAAAATGATTAATAAGAAAAAAGTATTATCGTTGTATATAGATTTCAAATAAGTTTGAAACAAAATATAAATCAAGTTAAAATTAAAGAACAAAAATATAAGAATAATATATAATTATAATTATATATTATATATTTTATAATTTACAATTATTTCATTATAATTATAAATTTTATAATATAATTTATATTATATTATTATAATTATAATTAATATATTTTAATTATTTAATTAATTATTTATATAGATTAATTATATATAGATTAGTATAGTTATAGATTAATCATTTGACTGCCACGCCGAAATCATATGTTTTGCCCAAGACGCCATGGCATTATTTTTATTATTCAAAGAAGATAATAGCAAAATAATAATAAATTGATGTTAATAAAAAATTGCAATTGTTCAATAAGCCACTTTTTATTTCAAAGTATGTTCTATACATCGGTTATATTCCAATACACTAATTTTCAATTTTCATTTAGTTTTTTTACAATTGTAAAAGGTTCATACTCTCCGGTCACCAATGACACCACCGTGGCGTCATAGGAGAAACCAGTGACCAACATGGCAGTCAAAGTGTTAATAAATGTATGAAATAGGTTTAAGAAAAAATAAAATAAAAGCTAAAGGGGAAAATAATAAATGTAAATTGATATTGTGTGTTCGTAAAATCGTACACAACAAATAAATAAGCCATTATCTCGAATGATTAAAAGAAAGATCGATATCAAATGGAATTACACAGATCGGTAACATCTACCTGATGAATCATTAGAAATCTAGAAGTGTAATAGATTTTTGTAATTTCATTCTGGTTATAAAAATATAATAGGTATATGTAATCTTCGATTAAAGTTATATATATATACATGATATGTTGATCACGTGAGTATCATATGTACAATTCATGTAATTTGAAACAATAAGACAACAGAAAGGAAAAAAGAGAAAAACTATAGCTATTACGAATGGTAATTATCTCACGTATGTATTATTTCGTTTTATTATAGTACAGTAATTATTTATGCGGTATAATGATAAAATCGATCTTCTTTATTTTCTCATATTGTTGTCTTAACTAATTAACAAAATATTTTATTTCTCCCTCTTGTCCCTCCCCCTCACTCCATATACACGTTATTTTTATAAAACGTATTTTGCAAATTAATATCGCAAGGTGACATTTACACGAACACGCATACGCACACATAAGTTGCATATTTCAATATGAAATTGAACAATTTATTATTATTTCGATTTACAATGGAAAAAAAAGAATTCATATTATACGATTTAGATTTGTCGAAACAAAGTTGACATTGAATAACTTTTATTAAATATGTTCGTAATATATTTAAATAATAATAAAAGCTGATATACGTAATATAATTTGTCTTCTTTGAACTTATATTGGGTTGACAAATAAGTAATTGCGGATTTCATCAATCATTTTCCTTGAAAAATCCGCAATTACTCAGTTGTCAACCTAATATATTACCTTCCGTGGTTGATAATTTTTAATCATATTGATTAAGTTATTTAGTATAAATATGTATCTGTAATAAAAAAGTATTGGGTTGTCCGGAAAACTCGTGCCGATTTTGACAGAAGATTAAAACCCAACGCATTTAGGTTTCTTTTTTCGGTATATATTTATTAAATTAAATATAAGTGTCATTTTGTTCTACAACTTTCCACCATCTTTATGAATAATATCAAAATTTCATCCTTCCAGAACTTCTCAAGTTTTTCATCAAAAAAAAACTTTATGCAACCTACCGAAAATCGGCACGAATTTTCCGAACAACCCAATATATATATATATATTTTAAATAACAATACTCACACACACACACATACACATATATATAGTACATATTTATATTACGAATATTCGATAATTGTTATATGAATATTTTTGTTTACTTTCTGATAAAGTATGTAAATAATCGTACCATCACGTTAAATCAGTTTCATCGATCTGTGATGAGGGGGAGAAAAGAAAAAAAAAAGGGAGAAAAAAGGTTGTAAAGGTCGTTTAAACGATACAATAAGTTGCGAAGTCAATTTGAGCTTTCACGTTGTAGGATAGTAGGCGCCTGATAATACGAAGTCTAGGCTCGATTGGTTCGATCGCAAAGTGCCACGACTACTACTACTACTACTACTATTACTTTCCTAACTTTCCTCACGCGTATCAATGTTATCGACGTTGTTTGGTGTACTCTTTAATAATAATAATAAAATAATAATAATAACGATAATAGTTAACTCCTATTTTTTTTTTATTTCGCATTTGATAGAAAAATAAACATATAATAATATAAATAAAAAAACAAAAGTAGAAGGAGTTTAATATGATTTAATAAAAGCTTCATTAAAAATTTACTTTTTCCTTACACTTTACGATTAAATTTTAAATATGGTTGCCTTTATAATTTGCATTTAAAAAATAAAACAAATAAATAATTATACTAACCAATGAAATATAAATAGAATGATAATTCAATCAATGATAAACGATTTATGTTCTATGAATAAAACTTGTCGGTGATATACAATTTATGTTATTTATTCTTATGTTTTTTTTTTTACAGAATAAATAATTTGTTTTGTATAAAGAAAATAAACGATACATAATCACTGTTTTATAAGCATTGTAAATATATAGTGAAATTCGATTTATTCTGAATATTTTCCGCTGACGACCATCATTATTCGATCGTCGGTTATCGGAATTCGCTCAGTGTGAGCTTGCAATTTATAATTAGATTTAACTTCTTTTTTCTTTTTTTCTTTTCTTTTTTTTTTTTTAAATATAGTTTGTCAAAATTACGATTTGTTTTAAAATAATTATGGTTATATCTTTGACTTAATTTATTGTTAAAAATCGTGACTTGTATTATTGATTTATAGGTTTTCAAAATTATTGCTCGTATTAACGTATGCAAAGATTTAATGAAATTTATTAAACGTTCAAATAAATACAAATTTAAAATAGTTTTATTATTTCTAGGATATTAACGAAGAACTACGTCACAAGGATTTATAAACATATTTATGAAGTAGTTTGTCAATGTGCTAGTTTCAATCATGGCCAATGATTAAAACTCATCGTCAATGATTGAAACTAGTATTCAATAATTGAAATTCATCGTCAATGATTGAAACTCACACAATTTACATCGACTATAACGTAGGTAAAATTTAAATTCATAGAATCATTTTATTTGTATTTACAATACAAAATCGATAATCATTCGAGAGAAACTTGTCAGTAGTATCATTTTATTTTATATTAAATAATAATAAAAATTATGAAATAATTGGTAATAAATTTAATATACAAGATCATTAATTATAAAATCAATAATTCAATCCTATTATATAAATTACTATTGATCTAATAATAAGTCGATCTATTTTGTAATACCCCATTTTAATATTCGCGATTATATCGTACTACACTATATATATATATATATATATATATATANTATATATATATATATATATATATATATATATATATATATATATAATACTTATGATACATCTGTTTTACAGTTGTATAAGATAAATGGATTATCTTTTAATAATACTTCTCAGAATATCAAAGAATATTAAACAAATAATATCTGATTTTTTAACACGTTCCATGCCATATGTACCACCGGTGGTACACGTTAAATTTGTTCTGCAGGCCACGTGTACCAACGATGGTACATTTACCATTAGACATATTTATTTAATGCACTGAAAATATATGTTTATAACAAATTTAATTTTGTATAAAAATATTCTTATTAAAATATTGATGTATTATTACAAAATGTAGTATAGAACTAAGCACATAAATTTGTTTAATTGTTATATTTACAATAATTAATAATTACATGTAATGGGTGATTAAGTTAAAGCAAAATTAAATGGCCTGAATGACAAGTCAGGTAAAAAAGGCTTGGCACGAAACGTGTTAAATACAATATACACAAATTGTTTTTAATCTTAATTATAAATAAAAATTACAATTTTTCAATTCATCCATGTAAATGAACGATAATACTTTTTTTTACAATAAATACATGATAATTTTGTTACTTCAAGTATAACGATTGAAACAAAACTCATTTAAGCAAATCATGATATACAATATTTCTAAAAACTAATCTGATTGTTTGATAAAACAACAACGTGTGATATGCAAGTGTTTCGCGAATCAGATTATTTTCCTTTTCGTACGATTACAATCACAGAGAGATATTTCTGTGATATTAAAAATCAGATAAAATAATAATAAAACATTTTATCAACGGTAAGAAGAACGATTGATGATGATTCAAGGGTTATTTTCGAGATAATAACAATTTACGTGGAGAAAAGAAGTATTATCATGCGTACAGTGATTATATTAACGATTTTTAATTATTATTATTATTATTATTTTTTCTTTTTTACTTTCAGAGAGTACCGTTCGAGCAAAAAAGAAAAAAAAAAACAAAATAAATAAACTTCTCGATGCATCATCGATCGAAGACTTGAATTTTAAATCACTATCCTTGCGAGGGAGGAAAAGGAAGGAAGGAAGCAAGGAAGCAAGGAAGGAAGGAAGGAAGGAAGGAAAAAAGGAAGGAAGGAAAGAAAGTCGGAGAAAAAGAGTGATGAAGATACAAAAAGTAGATAACGTTGTTTTGATTGTAAATGAAATTTAAAAAATAAAAGAAATAAAAAAAAGATCTAGAGAAAGTGTGTCTGTGTGTGTGATGCGTGTACACGCGAGCACGCGCGTATGTGTGTTTAAACGTATACGTGTAAATTTAATAAGTGAAGTGACGTATGCTCCTTTTCCGATAGATTTCAAATTCAAAGAAATAAATTGATAACAAAGTTTCATATATATATATATATATATATATATATATATATATATAAAAGGAGTGTAAGAGATTGAAGAAAATCAAAAGATAGTAGAAGGAAGAAAGATAGATAAATAATAAAAAAAAAAAAGAAATAAGAAAGAAAAATTATTGGATATGTGTCCCGATAAGGCAAGAGTATTGACTATGAGGTGTGCCGTCAATGAAAAGGTTGCTTATGAAGAAGAAATGGATCCTCTTGCAATAAAAAAAATGGAAAAAAATGAATCAAGGATTAACGGGGTCAAAAAAAATCTTAAACCTTCTATAAAGAATTTATCTTCGAGTAATAGGGTTGAATATGTACCAAGGATCAAATGGTTAGACTTATCCGCACAAATATTCATCCATGGTGGTTGCCTTTATGGTTTCTATCTTATGTTCACGCAAGCCAAACTTTTAACGTCATTGTGGGGTAAGTTACGTTCAAGTTTTATACGTATTTATTATTTTTATTAAAATAATATTATTTTTTGTTCGATTATTTAACAATTTGAGTGTTATTAACGCATATATGCGTCAAGCATGGGCTATTGATTCATATAAGTATTTGTAGATATAAATGCAAATAATGTAATGTTGTTTTTGTGTTTGTTATTAATTTTGCCACATGAAAATTATATAAGAAATAATAAGTTTAAATTTTTAAATATATAACTTACTATTAAATGTGATTATAGTAATTAAGTATCAGCACTCAAAGAGTTAATGAAAAAAAAAAAAAAATAATTTTCATGTTATTGAAAAAAATGTTCAAATTTTATGGAAGAAATAATTAATAAGCGAAGAAACATAGAAGAGGGGGGAACAAATTGTAATAATAAAAGAAAATGTAATTTAATAAAGAAAAAAAAGAAAAAAAAAAACACAGGAAGGTGGGTTGAAAAGTTTCAAGCAACGTTAAAAAATCTTTTCTCTTCTTTTTCTTGTTTTTTTTTTTTTTTTTGTAAATAAAAGTAGATTCGACCGGGAAAAAAACAAACAAAAAATTATTTCTAATTATTAAATTAAATTCTCTAAACTTTTTGAAATTTGCACACGTATAATTTTATTATCGATATATGCCATGTGTGTTTCAGATGATAATAAACATTAGTATAATAATTGATAAATATTATATTAATTGAAGAGATATTGAAACATTAAAAAAAAAAAGAATGTGTAGAGGAATAAAGTGAAAGATACAAGTTAAAAAAAGAAAAAAAAGAAAAGATAAATGTATATTATGTATAAAATATTATCGTTGAGATATATATCACGTGCCAGCGATAGCAAATGTAATAGTAAACGAAAGAGAGAGAGAGAGAGAAAGAGGTTACGACAAAAGATAAGAAAAAATGATAAAATGAATCATAGTGCCTTACACTGCTTTCTCGATTATCTTTTTCGTTGAATTCTGCGAATAAATACAGTGTTTCAATTCGTCAAATAAATCCTCTTTACGTATCGCGTAATCTTATTAAAAAAAAAAAAATAATTTACCTTACAAAATTTTAACTTGATTAACAACTCTTAAAAAAAAAGAAAGATACGTTCTTATTAAAATATTAAAATATATATATATATATAATAAAACTTTGTAAAAATTCGCGATTAAGATATTTCAGAAAAATGTTTGGTTTTTCTTTTCCCCATTTTTAATCTTGTTTGTTCGTTATAATTAATTAATTAATTTTTTTAATGATGTAACTTATTTTCTGGTTTTTTTTTCTAGCTTTCATAGTGATTTATACTTCTGGTTTTGGCATAACAGCTGGAGCTCACAGATTATGGTCTCACAGGGCGTACAAAGCCAAATGGCCATTACGATTACTTTTAGTTTTCCTTTTTACGATCACCGGTCAAGTATGTATACATATATATTATAGAAAAAAATATATTTTCATTCTATTGATTTATATATATCAATATATTCAAAAATATACATTAAAGTTTATAAAAAAAAAAAAAAATTAATAAATATAATATACGCATGTGTATATTTTTTTTTCTTTTTGATATAATTCTTTATCTATTTTTATTTCTTTCTTTTTTCTTCTGTTATATTTTAATCAATTGTTCGTTTCTAATATAAGTTTTAAATTGTGTAGAAACACGTTTGGGCATGGGCGTTGGACCACAGGGTGCACCATAAGTACAGTGAAACCGATGCCGATCCACATAACGCTAAAAGAGGTTTTTTCTTCGCACATGTAGGATGGCTTTTTACTACACCCCATCCTGATGTAGTAGCCAAACGTAAAGTCGTCGATATGAGTGATCTTGAAGCAGACCCAATAATTATGTGGCAAAAAAGGTATAAGCCTTTACAACACGAGATTACCTGAATATCATTAAGAAAAACAGATAAGATTGACTATTTTTTTTTAAATATAATTATTATCACATAAATACTATAAATAGTTACTGTAGCAATATTATATGTATATATAATAAATTATATACTATACTATATTATTTATTATACTAATTATACTTTTTATTATACTATTACTTCAATATACTAAATATACTTATTTATACTAATTATATATTATACTATTATATTATATATATAATAGTATAATATATATTATATTACGTAATAGTTACTATAAATGGATAAATGTTATTAAAGTCTAGAAATTTTCTTAAATAATAGAATAATATTATATTTGTTTGTTTGTTAATTTAGATTGTACATACCTCTGTTCGCACTTTTGGCAATTGGATTACCAGTTGTCGTACCATATTACTTCTGGTCTGAATCATTGTGGACATCTTTCTGGATCAGTTTTAATTTTCGATTTTGCGTAACGCTCAATATAGCTTTCTTCGTTAACAGTGTTGCACACATGTGGGGTCAGAAACCTTATGACAAGTAAGTTAATTTAAATAATTAATTTCTAAAATGTATTTTATTATTTTTAATTTTGTAAAAAAAAAAAGAAATAAAATGAATGATATTATTAATTTTAGGAACATTTCACCAGTTGAAAACATAGCAGTTTCCATAGCAGCACTTGGTGAAGGCTGGCACAATTACCATCATGTTTTTCCATGGGATTACAAAACTGGTGAATTAGGTGATTATTCTTTCAATATAACTACTGGATTCATCGACGCATTTGCTCGCATTGGTTGGGCCTATGATTTAAAATACGTATCACCGGAAATGGTTCGACGAAGGGCGAACAAATCCGGTGATGGTAGCCATGTATGGGGTTATGGTGATGTCGACATACCTAAAGAAGATCTACAAGAATTAGAAACGATGGATTATACAAAAGTTTTATAAATACATTATTAGTTCCTTTGTTATAATAATAATAATAATAATAATAATAATAATAATAATAATAATAATAATAATAATAATAATAATAATGATGATTATGATTATCTTAAAATACGTCGACGTTAAAAATTACAGCTGAATTACATTTCGTCGTCGTATTTATTATCCTGCCGTCTCTTTTATATTTTTTAGAAAAATTATAATTATATATATATATTTTAGATTTATATAATATATAATATATAATTCTGTATGTGTATAAAAATATTACAAAGCCATATGATATAACAAGAGAATCGTATCGTTGATTAAAAGTCTAACTAAAATGTAATTTCGTACAAATAAATATAAGAATGCAACAATGAGAGGCCAAAAAACAAACAAAAAAAAAATAAAAAATGAAACAGACAAATTATTCGGCAATTTTTAAAAGATCTTCTTTGATTTATTTCTTTCTTTTTTGTTTTTATTTTTAGTTATAAATTTTGGGTAATTAATATTTAATAAGTTTATTGTGTATTATTTTCAATAGTATCGTTATGCGTTTATAATTAAAAAAGAATATTATTCTGAACAATTTTTCTAAAGGTCAACAGTTTTCAAAAATTCAACAAAAAGAAGTTGTGGGAAAAAAAAATTTGAAGTTTGATGAATAGATAAATTTTCACGATAGCTAATTTTCCTCAATAATTCTTATTTAACTTTTGAAGTTATTATTTGCATTACTAATACAGTAGTAGTAATAGTTAATTGCAGTCTGATAACTTAATTAACGTGTGGATTTTGGTTAACTTGTTTACTTAAAAAATTATTTTCATTTCATTCACTCCACTTTATCGTTTACCATTTTATGTAAATAATATAAAGAATTATACAAAAAATTTGATTTATAAAGCTGAAATAAAGTTTGTAGTATTTAAGGAAAGTATAAAATATTTTATATTAAAATAAATTTTTAAATTAACCCTTTTATCATAGTTAAAAAAAATTTACTTTTAATATTTGATTATAAATTAATTTACGATGTTGATTTTTAAACTTTCGATAAAATAAAAATAATCGTTACATTAAATAATGTTTAACTTAAATATTTGATAATGTGTCGACTCATCGTATTTATACCGATGAAATTATCATAAAAGTAAAATTCTAATAAAAATTTAATATAACATCTAATACAGTATAATTACAATAATTTTAAATAAACACGATTTCTATTTATTCAGTTGTCATAAAAAATAAGATCGTGAGATTCTTAAGAAAGTATTTTAGGTGTTAGATTACAAAGCGATTTTAAAATGAAGGAAGTAACCTCGGGGGTTAAATATATTTATTGAATATTAACACTTTCGTTGAATTCATTTCGATTCAGTTTGCTTCAGAATTCACGCCATTTCGGACGATCATCGAAATACGAAAATCAATTTGCTTCGATACGTTTGATTTGTCTTTTTTCTTTATTAAAACGAAAACAAAACGATTATTTTATTATAGTGAAATATATAGTGAAATAAAAAAGTTATAAATATAATATAAAGTATAATATATAATATAATATAATATAAAAAATATAGTGAAAAATATACTTTTCTATTAATAGATCTTTTACAAATAGAATTATTTTTAATTTAACATATTTTTATATAAATATATATTTCTTTTTTTAATTTTTCATTGATCAATAACAAAATGTCAGTATCGGCAGAAATAGACGTTCCAAAAATGCGAACTATTAATTATGGTTTAGTGCTATTATTTATTCATTTTCATTTATTCGCTTTTTATGGACTTTGGCTAATGATTTTCCAAGTGCAATGGATGACAATGCTGTTTGGTATTATTCTTTCATAACCTTTTCTTTTTAATTACGAAATTTATTTCGGTTCAATTATTAAATACAAACAATAAGAAATATAGAAATAATTATATTAACTGATAATAATAATTATAATGATATATCAAATTATTCTAATTACTTTTACATTGAAAATTATATTGCACATGTATAAAATAATTAATAAATATTTATTGTTATTAATTATCCTACATATTTGTATTATTTAATTATCGTACCGAAATAAATTTATTACTTTTATATGGGGCATCTTAACAAAGTAGGTATTTAGGTGAATACAGTTAAGTGCCTCTTATTCTGTATATATGTAATATTATATATATAATTTTGATACTAACAGTAAGATGTTAATATGACGTTTTTTTCTTTACTAATACTATAAAGTGCATAGGATTTAATTTTCAAAAATGTATAGTCATTTATTTAAAAATTATTCTATATATATGTGTGTGTGTGTGTGAAATAATATTTGTAAAAATATAACGAACATTAATGATTTCAGTTGCTTTTCTCTTATTGATTGGTTATATCGGAATTACCCTAGGTGCCCATAGATATTTGGCACACCGAACATTTGAAATTGAGAACAGTCTTAAATATTTTTTCATCCTAGCACATACTCTTGCCGGTGTGGTGAGTTTCAATAAGAAAAAACAAAAAAGAAAAAAAAAATTTTTTTAAATAATTACCATTGTGTTTCATTTTCATAGGGTCCCATGTACAATTGGGTTTTATATCACAGGTTGCATCACAAATTTTTCAGAACTGATAAAGATCCTTATTTAACTCATAAAGGATTCATGTATAGTTATTTTTGGAGTTATCTCTTAGATTTTCCTTACACCGAGGAAGAATTAAAAATGGATATAGATATGCGAGACATCACTGTACCATCCATTTCTTTACAAAAAGGGTATGAACTGTTTATATTATTTGTATTATATTTCTTTTTCCTCGACATATTTCATATGCCGGATGTTTCAAAATAAAGCACAAAATAAAACAAAAAATTATTAAGACAAATTTTTATCTTTAAAATTCATAATGGGAAAACAATCATGTGATTGTTCTTCAAATTATTTAATTATTGTGTGAATAATTATTTGTTGAAAGAAATGTCGATGCATTCTCGAAATATAAATTTATAACGCATATAATATATATACATATATCGAACATCCCCGGTGTATTATTATTATTATTATTATTATTATTATTATTATTAACTATGACGATTATATCGATAATTTTGACAGTGGACTAAAAATCAAGAAACTTTTTCAATAGTTCAACCCCATAAAACCCTTATTAGTCCACTGTCGTAATCATCATTGTACATGTATATAATTGTTGGTAAAAACATAATCTTTTCTTTTTAGATTATATTGGATTTATTTCGCAGTGATAACGTTATTAATTCCTATCTACATCCCCATAGCATATTGGAACGAGAACCTCATTAATTCTATTTTTGTTGTGGGATTTCTACGATTAACTATAATGTACAACGTATCAAAGATGGTGAACAGCGCTATTTTGGTTTGGGGTCTTAAACCAAATGATAAGTTAATGGCTATTTTTTATAATATTCGACTATTTTATATTCTTTTTTTCAATATGCCAAAGAGTCATGGTACCGTTATGATTGATTACGATGGTATACGTAGTAGTTGAATTTAAGTACTCGTTAACCTGTAAATCGTCTCGCTAGTTAGAAAGTTCTCCATCTTGTAATATCTCGGATATTACACGTTGAACTTTGGAACATTAAGATTATATCACTAGTTAATTTATAATAAAAAGGGTGTACACACACACACAAGATGTATAATAAAATGTGAAACTCAATTTAGTAATATGGGAAAGAAAAACAAAAATAATTTCATATATTCTGATAAACATATATGCTATTTGTTGACCTCGTTTCTAAGTTATATCAGTTATATGGTAATTATTTTTTATTATTTTTTTTTCTTTTTTTTTTATCAATAATACGTAATTGTTTATCTTTCTAGAAAGTACTTAGAATGAATTGTCTTCGTTAAATCAACATTGTTCAAGAAATAATTTCAGAAATTGATTAGACTATCAAGTATGATCTCAATCAGTGTATTTTAATTACGTTTATTTTATTTGCTGTATAATATGAAATATTTTATATTAATTATATTATATATATTTAATAATATATAACAATATCTTACAAATATTTTGTTTAATTGAATATTTACTGCAATGCCTGCAAATGGATTACCATAATTACGATTATTTAGAAGCATGTTTGGAATGAAATAAAACGATGAAATTGTATTCTCTTAGAAGATAGACATTTGGAATATTTCATGTAGGATAATATCAAAAAATTTATAATTATCACAATTTTTGCATAAAAATAACTGGAATACATTAAGATTATGCTTGTAAGTCTCGTAATTTTGAAATGATGTATTTCTGGATTCCTATCGATAAAGCTTGTTTTTCTTTTCTACATATAAGGAAAATTTTATCATGTATTTCATGATACATTAAGTAAAATATATAATGAAGAAAAAAATATTTATTCAATGTTTCACAGGTTTCCAATTGAGGATAATACGATGTTCTTTTTGAACAAAAGTTATTGGATGAATTATCATTATTTTTTACCTTGGGATTGGAAAAGTACAGAATTTGGCCCATACGATAAAGGTTTGACTATATTATTGATTAAAATTTTTCGTAATATGGATCTCTTGTACGCTCCTAAAACCATATCGAAAGAAGATATAAGAGAAGTAATTGTAAAAGTTGCAAATAAGGAGATGTCATGGAAAGATTCGTTAATTCTATTGAAGAAACAAAGCGATGAAAATGCTTTAAAGAAAAATCTTCGTTTTAAGCATTAATACGTATTAATTAATTAATACATGTGTATTTTATAATATTTTTCATACGAATCATATTTTTATCCAACATATATAATTTTTTAATGTTTTTTTTATGTATTACTAAAATATATAGAATTACAAATGGAGATAATATAACAAAATAATATTATATAATTATATTAATATAATATAAACTAAAATTATATTACTGAACACAATATTCACGTATATTAATCAAAAATATTGTAAACATGGTTATTGAATAAACTGAATTAACACTAGATTTACGGATGTTTTGTTCATTATTTTTTAATGACGTAATAACATTGTTTGAATAAAGGATTGAGTAAAGGAATTGAACTAATATTTACGTATATTTCATTACGTAACTAAAAACCAATAAGTTTTCAAAAAATAGTATTTAAATTTTATAAATATATAAAATAATCAAATGTTCAATGAGTCAAATTGGCTCAATTCGTAAATCTAGTGTTAACAATATTAATGATAATAAAGTGTAAGCTGTTCCAAGATAATGTCATTTTAAATACTATTTAAAAAAGATCAATCTCTTTCTCTCAATATATCGTAATTTTTTTATATCAACAATAATATTAATCAATAATATCCTTAGACTATGATTATGTAAATCAATGGCATCGGTAAAGAAGATTTCTTCTTACTTTTAATACTTTGAATCTACTTTTAAATAAGTCAACTACGTCCTTGTGTGTTTTCTACTTTATCTGCTTGTTATCATTCAACAAAATGAATTTTTATTTTTATTCTGATAAGAAAAAAAAAAGAACATGCACGTTGTTTAGGGAAGAAATAAATATATACCTTTTATTCAACTCTCTTTCTCTATACATATATAAATATACTTTCATTTTAGATTATTATTTATGAATGGTATCTTTGATACTTTATCACAATTTTTGTCTTCTTTTCTTTTCCATTAAATAATGATAATTTATTCAAATGGCCCGATACGTGTATTTTAATTGTCTTACTATTAATTAATATTAACATTTTTCTCAATTTGACAGGACATAAAAATATCGAAACATTTGTATAGAATGATTTAAAGATGCTGCGTTAGGATGATTGATTTTAATAAAATGTATATTAAATATATATATTCTTTGGACATAACGTTGTTCTTGAATGAGAGTGAGAGTGAAAGAGATAGATAGACACGAAGTTTTATAGGAAATAATAATAATAATAATAATAATAATAATAATAATAATAATAATATACCCAGATAGAGAAATAAAATATAATGTTACTCAATGATTTTTCATCCAGTTTTATTATTATTCATTTTTAGTGAATAAAATTAATGAATAGTTGAGGAGAGAGGTGTATCAAAAATTGTTTAAAGATCACGGAATTGATCATGCGATATAATTATAACAATAGTAAAACTACTTTCTTTGTTTTTTCGACCATAAAATAGTTTATTCATTCATTTGCTATCCACGTCTTGTATATCGCCATTTAAACAATTTCGTTAAAAATTGTATGAATTTATTTTTTCGTATCAACAGTGAGAAAAATCACACAGAGAATTAAGAAGAATTCATTTTATAGAGAGCACTTCTTTTTTTTCTTCTTTTTTTAATTTCAAAATATACCAAAACGTTTACATATATATTTATATAATATATTATTCCATTGTATATCTTTTTCTTATTTTAAATCAATATTTCGAACGTATTAACGTAAAAACACAATATCGTGATAAGTGGGAAAAAAAAAAAAAAAAAAAAAAAAAAAAAAGAAGAATTTAATCTTTACGACGACGCATTAGCCGAGAAGAACACAAAAAGTATAATTAAATTAAAAAGTTTTCAAGTATATTTTTTAAAGATTATCCAATGGTTTTCTTCTTCGTTTTGTTGCGATATTTCAACTCTCAAATAAAATGAGTAATATTTACTGTTATTTAAGAAAAGAAAAATATAATAAAATGTTTTTTTTTTCTTTTTTTCACTTTTTTCTTCTTTTTCATAAAGAATATATGTAAGAGATACATCATATTTCGAAAATATATTACGAACAAATAAAACGTGCGATTCATCGTTGTCGCATTTTTTACTCGGTCATTTTCCGAGTCTTTTTAAATAAACAAACTTAACTAAATAAATTATTGATTAATAATATATACACCCACTATACGCGGTTTATTTTCTGTGCATAGGACGTCAATAAATTTTAACATTTATTATAAACCTTGTGTTTTTTTTTCTTACTTTTTTTTTTTCACACGTACGTGCTCAAACGTACATACTTTATAATTTCTCTAAATAAGATATCATCAATTTTTATTCTCTTTTTTTGCAATTTCATGAACTTTTGCTGAAATTATTTTTTATTGTTATCCAATACTGAGAAACATAATCAAAACAATGACATTTTGAATAATTTAAATTATCGTATAACTTTTGCAAATTACATTTATAACCCTTTGCAGAAGTGTTTTTTTTTTCCCATTTCACTCAACACATTTTGATTGATATTTTATCCGTAATAATAATAATAATAATAATTTTAACACAATTTTTCAAAATAGGTAATAATAAATGTCTTAAATTTAAACACCTTTCCTATTTCTCTTTCATCTATATAAAACTTAATATATGTAATAATAATAATAATAATAATAATAATAATATTATTAATAGTAATAATTGTAATATTAATAATAATAATAAGCAAACGAAGAAACCGAACTGTCGCTGATTATCTAACAAGAAGAAAAACACAAAACATAATTTAAGTAGTTCCCAGAATGAAAGTAAGAAAAGAAAAGAGAAACAAAAAGGAAAAAAATAGAAAGAGAAAGAGAGAGAAAGAGAGAGAAAGAGAGAGAAAGAGAGAAAAGGGAATAGAACTATGCTGATTTTTTTCTCGCGTTATGTTGTTTATACTTTGAAAGGCATCTGTGAAATATTTTATCTGGATGTTATTACAAAGCGATTCATGCGTGTTCTTACGTTGACATATTTATTAGAATTAATATCAGTTTGAGGAAGAATAGTAGTATCAAAATCTTAAGGAAGAGAGGTAGGAGGAGGAGGAGGAGGAGGAGGAGGAGGAGGAGGAGGAGAAGGAGAATGAGGAATCGTTGGATTCTTCAAAATCGACACCACATTTCGTTGCACAAAACAACGAACATTTTTTCTTACCGTTTGGGAAGAAAGGGGGGAATTATTACATGCACTACTGGAATTCAATTTAATACACAGGTACAAAGACCACCCACTTAGTAATCAAAATTACTATATCTATCACGTGTCATTCGAGACTTACATACGTGATTTAAGAAGGAACGTAAATTGATGTATGCAGTAAAAAGGAAAAATAAACAAAAAATAAAGGAATAATAAAATATTAACAAAAAGAAAAAAAAATAATGGGGAAAAAAACAAAAGGGAAATATCATAATTAAACGCAAAAATTATTGTATAGAGGACAATAATAATAATAATAATAATCAATTCATGCTTATAATGAATTATTTAGTTTTGTGTTAAATAAATGTAAGAAGAGAGAAAATATTCTCTCGAAAGAAAAAGAAATAAACAAATATAAGGAAAAATAGAGAAAAAGAGAGACAGAGAAAGAGAAATAAACATAGTTATTGATCCTTCGTAGAAGAAGCATTAGTATAAGTGAATACGGCGTGCTGTTTTTCTTCTTGCGTTTGATCCTTGTCACCCCAACCCCAAACATCGTGTGTACCATCACCGCTTCTAATTACTCGCGATTTAATCATATCTTTCGATACACTTTTTAGGTCATAGGCCCAGCCTATTTTCGCAAAGAAATCGATAAACGCGGTCGTCAGGTTAAGCCTGTAATTACCCAACTCGCTTGTTTTATAATCCCATGGGAATACGTGATGGTAATTGTGCCAACCTTCGCCCATTGCCATTAATGCTACTCCTTTGTTTTCCGACGGATTGATGTATCTAAAAAAAAAAAAGAAAATAAAAATATAATAATAACGTTTTGACAATTATATAATGGTACATGTGATAGACTATTATGTTTAATGTTTTTGTGAGCAAGGAGAGATAAACTAAACTTTTGCATGATATATTGATGATGTAACTTTTTACTATTGGTTGGCGATTGATATTTTTTCATATTTAATTTTATTTAATTAAAATATAATAATATTTATACGGAGGAATTATAATAGTATTTTTAATACGTTCCTATATTGATCACGTTCCCAATCACGCGTATATTTGTTTAGCTCTCCTAAACTCGCAACACGTATAACATAATTAAGAATTGTAACTAACTTGTCGTAAGGTTTATTTCCAAAAAGATGAGCAGCAGAGTTAACCAGCCACGTCATGTTTAAAGTAAAGACGTAACGAAATACAACGGGAATGAAATAAGAATTGAGAAAAGATTCGTTCCACAAATACATGGGTATTAAACTTGGCAGGATAAAACACAACGTAGGCATCAATACAAAGTAATATCTGAAACATTAAAGATTATTTTTAATAATTGTATTCGTTTAATTATTAATATATACTCTCGTATTTCTGTATAAATGTCTATATAAATATGTTAAAAAAAATAATATAACAAATGGTTTATTATACGTACTTCTTTTGAAATGCAATGATAGGATCACTCTTGAGATCGCTCAAATCAATTCCTTGGCCTTTTTTCTTAACGTCCGGATGTTTTCTGAGGAGTAACCAACCTACATGTGAAAAGAAGAAACCTCTTTTCGCGTTATGTGGATCGGCATCAGTTTCGCTGAATTTATGATGAACTCTGTGGTCTCTTGCCCAATCGATAGCCGCATCCTAACACAAAAAAAAAAAAAAAACAAATGTTAATTTTTGAATTATTTTTATCAATTCAATTTGACGTTAGATTCCATTAAGAAGATATCATTTTATTTGTCGTTGTTGTTGTTTTAAATATATTTCTCTTTAGGATATCATTGACTGATAGCAAATGAAAGATATGAAATACGTGTATAGAAATATGTAATTCTGATGTTATTACATGTATTAATTAATTACTTATTTGAGATAATAGGATATCTTTCTTAGAGGGATTACTTCGCGATAATATATATAATTTGTATCGAATACTAATTTTTGTATTTTTTTCCCTCTTTTTTTTTAAATAATTTACCAAAGAATTTTTCAACAAAATAATATTTTTCTTTAACTCACTTGGAATGCTATAGTGTTGAATATCATAAGAATTAATCGAAGTTGCCACGTTGCTTTATATGATCTGTGTGCCCATAATCTGTGAGCTCCTGCTGTAATGCCAATTCCCGAGCATATGTAAAGTAGAATTGCTGAAAAAACAAAAACAAATAATTATGTATATTTCTCTTGTGAAATTTTATAACGTGTTGAAATATTTTTGTGTAATCGTAAAAAGAATTTTTACAAAAGTACGAAAAGAGAGAGAGAGAGAGAGAGAGAGAGACAAGTAATTATTTGTTAAAACTATAATATATTCATTTTTAATTTAATTAAAAAAAATATATATAAACATTAGCTAAGAAAAAAAAGAGAATAATTATTTTTAAAATACCAATATAATTAATAATAAATAATAAAATGGAAATCAATTAATACTGAATTATCATATTCAAAAATAGGATAAATAATTATTATTAATAAATAAAATTAATTAATCGGGCAAAAAAATACTGCGATATACAAATAATATATGAGAATTTTTAATGTGTAATTTAACGGTTAACAGAATTTATCAAGATAATTATTTGTTTGTTATGAAAATGTTCGTATATACTTACCAAAAAGCGTGGTTAACAATTTGGCGGACGTGAATATAAGATATAAACCATAAACAGCACCAATGTGAAGACCGGTAAATATTGCAACATTTCTCCAAACTATACTTTTTTTATATTTTTCTTTTTCCTTGGGCAAATCGACCACTGGCTGATCGTCCAATTTTTCTCCTTCGAATAAAACACCAGTTGTTGGGCTGCTCGTAATATTCGGCGCCATGATTGAATTTAGTATCTCTAATATGAAACAAATAAAAAAAAAAAAACAATAAATAATTATATTATATTTCCATAAATTATATTAATTAATTAAGTTTAGTAAACATTTTTTATCCATTCATCAAGTATTCGACAATCATTGAAAAATGAAATCTCTTGCGAATTTTATTTTCGTATAAGATTTATTACTTTCCATTTAACCTTTTTTTTTTTCAAATTTTATTATATAATATATATATATATTATATAATAATATTATATAATATAATGTTTGAGAAGTATAACACATTACTTTTTTTTTTATCATTTTTTTTTTACTAAATTAACTGTGACAATGCGTTTTATAAAAGTAATTGCACATGTTCTATTTTAAAATTTATACGCGTAGATAAGAATGTATGTGTATAGAACGTTTTAAAGAATATTTTTACAAAATGATCAATTTTCAGTTCTAATTAAAGTAATTCTTAAAAATAATGATTATTAAAATGTTCAGAAAATAAGTGTATTAAGATTTAGATATATATGTAAATACATGCATATATATATGCAGAACTATTATCTAAATACAATTTATGAATAAAATTAATATTATTAATATGCATTTGAATATATGGACACAAAATGTCAATAATTAGAATAGATTATGTTTAAATACAAGGAAGAAGCCTTACACGTATCACGTGTCCCCCACCACCAAGTGTATAATGTACACATACACATTTGGTTCAAAAACGTGTCATTAAGTTACTTACTCGTTTGCCTGTTGCATTCGTAGGAAAAGTGAAAGAAAAATGACATGAAAAAAACAAAAAAAAAAAAAATATAAAGAAAAGAAAAAGTGAGAAATATAAAAAGCTTTAAATGTTATTGATCCCCCTTTCCCTCTTCTAAAAATAATTCAATAAGAAGCTTATCACAATTAACAGAAAATTTCGAAAAATTGGGAGGGATTGATAGTGGAGGATCTTTAAAAGGTTTAATTTTTTCGGTGATATACTTAGAGAAAATTGTTATTATATTTTTTAAACAATAATTTGTAATAGGTTTCGTTGTGTCACTTTCGATTTGTTTTTTATTTATTTTTTTTTTATTAATTCTTTACCGACATTCGATAAAATTAATGATACACCCACCACGGAGTTCATCAATTAATGATTGAAAATTATAATTAATTTTAAAACGATCTTAGAGAAATGAAATAGATCATTTGAAAACATTAATGGGAGGAGGAAGGAAGGATTGATGTTCAGAAAAGTATGGATTGAAAACTAAAGAACGTTACGACGTTGATCGTAATTGTTGTTAATTGACACACATCAAAGACAACAAATCTGATTAGCATCGAATTAGAAAAAAAAAAAAAATCAGGGTAGTTTCTCTTATATCTTGCACAACACACACACACACACCTCTCCGCGTTATATAATTTTGTAATACTTTGAAAATCACTGAGAATTCGTCAAAAGTATACGTCGTGTCGTATCTTTCTTTATCATTAAAATGTACTTCCTCGTAAATAAGGTTTCTTCCATTTCTATCCCTTTCATTTTTCTTCTTTCAAAGAACTTTATTAAAGTTTACGTATTATGACAATAAATATGACGAAGTACCTCGTAAAAAGCTGGCAAATATTCCAGAATGTACCAAACACCAGCTTACGTTTACGGATTGTTAAGGGTGGACGAACGAAAAACAACCCTTTCTGTGTTACCACGCGATTTCTACTCGATGATCCTGCCGACCCACTCTGCTAAAATGCCAGGAGTTTGCGCACATCTATGATTCCACTTCCCCCCCAAAATCCACCTACCCCTTCTTCCCCCACCCCCCGTTTCTGTCTTCCACCAAACATGAGTGAGTGAGCGAGTGAGAGAGAGACGGATGATCAAATTATATTATTCACGTAGTTAGAGTACATATCGATCGAAATCGAAAAATTTCGTCTGTATATCGAAATTGAAAACACGAAGTAAATCCATTCGTTACGAAAGAATTGAAAAAAAAAAAAAAAAGAAATATATCTAAATTCATAGATTCATAATAGATCTGCGATTACATAATATTTTTTATTTTTTATTTTTATAGAAACGACCGAATGAAATGTTATGCAATCTTAACAGCACGTTGGACATTTTTTTTTTCTTTTTTATTGGATTATTAAATTGAACAAAAAAAATTATTTTTTTGTTCATTAGAATGTACAATATGTATTTTTTTGTTTTAAATTTATGAAATCTATTTAAAAGTTATGTGTTTGTCAGTTTTTTTTTTTTTTTTTTGAAAAGAAAATAATAAATAATAATGTTAATATTTTTACTGAATAATTTATATTATCAATTTTATTGTTATATTGAAGAATTACAAAATTAAATTTAAATTAAAATTTTGTAAACAATTTCTTTTCACTTATTTCTAACTGAATTGAAAGGGGAATGATGTTATTTATGTAATTTAAAAAAAAAAACATTAAATAACGATTACCTTTTAAATGTACAGAGTACAGGGTCGTTCGTAATTAATGATACAACATGTAAAATCATTTTTTTTTACATCAAATACAATTAATAATTTACTAATACTTTATCGCTAATAGAATTGTAAATGAAGCAGGCAAGGCTATATTATAATAAATATAAGTATTAAAAATGAAGCTAACCAACTTAAGAAGTTACATAGTTTCAAAATCATAATCTTTGATTCGATTCAGTAATTCATTAATATCATATATCAATTACTGTCACAATGTCATATCAATCAATATCATGGAGAAGTTGGATATTTTTCATTGATAATTTATTTGAAAACCTTTAATGACCATCGAACGAGATTTAGGGTTATATTATTCAGATTTTGGTCTTTATTTCCCCTCCTTCTTTTTTTTTTTTTTTAAGTATATACAATTTTGATGACTTCTTCCCCTCCCACTCTCTACCATCTTCATTTGTAATATAAATTTTTGGACCACCCTGTAAATATGGTGTGCATGATGATATCTCGTCAGAATAATAATAACGAGACGTCTAGGCGCAGACTCGACGTCATTGAATAGTCTTCTCACCCTTCTCAACCCTTTTTTCCAGAGGGTGAACCTAACCAGTGTCACTTTCAAAAGTTCTTTCGGACGATCAGCTGACTCTCATACTCTCTCTTTCTCTTTTTCTCTATGCTTACTTCTTTGTCCTTGTTTATCGAACCGAGTTCTTTCCTTTGACGTTCTCATAAGCGATTTATTTTTTTTTACTCTTTTTCCATACTCTATCTCCTTAAATTTTTTTTCTTTCAACGTAACTATCATATTACATCTCATATATTCCGTACTCTATGTTACTCGATCGATAACACACACACATATATATATATATATAATTATAATATATCTTAATAAAAATTAAATATATGTATGTAATAAGTATATTATTTTTCTTCTTCTTTTTATTTTTTGTTCAAATTAATTATCAATGAATTTTTTCGAAAAAACAAAAGAAACTTGTATTTTATATTTCTATTAAATATTATATTACAAATAATATTACAATTAATATGTTAACGTAACATTATTACATACGAATAATAATTAAATTAAAGAATATAACAAAATATTAACAGCGAAAATAATTTGCCATATATAATCTTATCATAATATATTTAGAGAGAGAAAGAGAGAGAGAGAGAGAGAGAGAGAGAGAGAGAAAGAGAGAGATGATTAGTTTATTGATTATTATTATTATTATTATTATTTTGTATAATCGTATTGAATTATTTGATATTCAATCATTTAAAATCAAACATCACGTTAAGAGAAATTGAATGAAACGAAAATCATGTGAGAAAGAATAAAGTTGGGAGATCAAAGTACGCTTTCGAATAAAAAGTCAATCTTTACTGTATATTTTATGCAAATATTTAATATTATTCGTAAATTATAAAATGAAAATAACAAGCAAGGTCGAGATTTTGGGACAAACACTGAACTGATGATCGTAAGATTATACTTGGCAAACGTTCGTAAGATGGTGACAAAAATATAAGACGTTCAGCAGAGTTAAGAGAGTATGGGAGAAAGAATGATTAACCGACTGAGCTAGTATGTATGTGTGTGTGTTTGTGTGTGAGAGAGAGAGAAAGAAAGAGAATGTCAATGGCAAGGTTATCTATGGACCTTGTAACGTGCTAGTTTATGTAATAAGACAACAACTGGAATACGTTAGTTGTGTTGTAGTATAATACCATGATCGAATTTTTAATTAACGATCAAATTTGAACAGTTGTATTATTTTTTATATATATTATCGATTGAAGGAATTATTTTGTTAGAAATAATTTCATTTGTAATGAGAATGCAAGTGTTAATTATCTAATTGCGTAAGTTTCAAAAATTTCGATAGATTTTGTGTTAGTTATATTTAGAATTGATCAATATTATGTTAATATATTAATTTTATTTAATAATAATAATAATAATAATAATATATATTAATAAATTATAATATTATAATTATTTTTATATATTATTATATTAATTATTATAATATTTTTTTTTTTCATTCAAATTCAAGGAATGAAATTTAAAAACGAATGATAATTCATTTTAATTTTTATCCGTATATTCACCTTCATGAGAGGTGAAGAAACGTCTCTTGGAAAGATGACGTGCACTATTATTCCATTCTACTCTAATAATCTTGATGTCAATGAATACAACTTGACAATCTTCTTCAGGAAATGACGAAGAATGGCTTTGAACTGAGCACTCGTTTAAAAGAGAAATTGCAAACAGTATATATATGTATATGTGCTATAACTCATCTGTTAGACGCACACATAAACATGCATACATATATACATATACGTAACTCTTTCGAAAAATTCATAATTGAATGACAGCAATATTCGTAATGATTTATTTCAACGAGTTGAAGTTAATCTTGACTTTTAAATTTCATAAATATAATTTCAAAATAATATTACCAAGAGAAATACTAATAAGTTCAAATAACAAACGGAGGAAGATATTA